AGAACTACATTAACAGTGGTGACAGTGGATATTCTCGTCTTGTTCCTGATTTTACAATGAAAGCTTTCAGGTTTTGACCATTTGGTATGATGGTAGTTGTGGCTCTGTCATAAATGGCTTTTATAAGATTACAATAAAAACTCTCTATTCAAATTTTCTGTAGGGAGTTATTGTGAATAAGTGTTAAATTTTTCAAATCCTTTTTCTGCATCTATTGAGATGATAATGTGATTTTTGTCTTTTGTTCTGTTAATATTGTGTATTAAATTATTAACTTGCATATGTTGAAACATCCCTGCATCCCTGTTATAAATCCAACTTGGTCATGGTGTATAATCTTCATGATTTGCTGCATTCTGCTTACCAGCATCTTATTGAGTATTTTTGCATCTATGTTCATTAGGGAGACTGGCCTGTAGTTTTCTTTTTCGGTTGAGTTCTTGTCTGGTTTTGGAATCACGGCAATACCTCCAGATGTTAGAAATATTGCTTCCCTTTCAATTTCTTTAAAGAGTTTTGGCATTAGTGGCATTAGTTCTTCTCTAAATTTCTTGTAGAATTCAATTGTGAATGCATCAGGGCCTGGGCTTTTCTTTGCTAATAAATTTTTATCTACACTTTCAACTTCATTGGCTGATATTGCACTATCTACAATTTTAAAGACATCTTGATTTAGTTTTTGCAGTTCAGTTGTGCCTCGAAATATGTCCATTTCTTCTGTTTTCCATCTTATTAGAATATAGGTTCTCAAAATTTCTGTAGGATCTCTTCTGATTTCCCCCCTTTTCACTCCTAATTGCTTGAATTTATGTTCTTTCTTCTTTTTGATGAGGCTGGTTAATGGTTTATCAATTTTATTAATTCCTTCAATGAACCAACTTTTTTATTTGTATTGTTTTGTTTTTCATTTGTATTGTTCTGATTTGTTTTTTTTTTTAGCCTCAAGTGCACTAATTTGTGCTCTTATCTGTGTAATTTCCACCCTCATATGAGCTTTGGGTCTGATTTGTTCTTTTTCCAGAAGTTTGAGGTTTAACATTAGGTTGTTTATTCGAGTTCATTCAGTTTTCATGATGTGAGACTTTATCACTATAAATTTTCCTCTTTGGACTGCTCTCACCATGTCCCATACGTTTCAGTATGTTGTATTAGCATTATTATTCAATTATATATACTATGTAATTGCATGTTTAAATTCCTTTATGGCCCATTGGTTGTTTAGAAGTGCGTTAATTTCCATGCATTTGTGTAGTTTTTGTGATTTCTTTTGTTGATTTCCAGTTTCATTGTGCTATAGTTAGTGTGCAAAGAATGGTTTTAATTCCTCTACATTTACTTAAACATGTTTTTTGGGCTGGTATGTAGTCTATTTTGGAGAACATCCCATGTGCAGCTGAGCAAAATGTGTATTCTGATGTTTTGGGGAAGAACACTCTATAGACATCTACCAAGATCATTTGTTCACAGGCTTGATTTAATTCTGATATTTCTTTGTTGATTTTTTGTCTTGTTGATCTATTTGTGAGAGTGGGGTATTAAGTTCTCCCACTAAAATCGTATGAATGCTTTTTTGGTTTTTCATGTCTATCAATGTTTATTTTATGTAGTTGAGTGCACCAGAGTGTGGTGCACATATCCTTATGATTATTAACTCTTCTTTTTGAAGTTTTCCCTTAACAAGTATGTAGTGACCTTCTTTGTCTCTTTAAACCAGTTTTGGTTTAAAGTTTACATTGTCTGCAAATAGAATAGCTACCTCTGTGTTTCTCTGAGTTCCTGTGGCATGCAGAATTGTTTTCCATTCTTTGAGTCTATGAATTTCTTTTTGGCTTAATTGTGTTTTTTGAATGCAGCATATTGTTGGTTCTTGTTTCTTGATTCATTCTGCCAGTCTGTGTCTTTTGATGTGTGAATTAAAACCATTTACATTGATGATTATAACTGATATATATTGGCTTATCTCTTTCATATTATATTCCTGTTGTTGGTTCCCTGTATTTCTCCTCTGTTTAAGTTCTTGCCCTGCTTGGCAATTTCTTTCTATTGGTGCTTGTGTGTTTGTCATCTTCACTATCCCTTTTTAAATATATCCTTCAAAGCTTTCTGTAGTGCTGGCTTTATGGTCATGAATTTCTCCAGCAGTTCTTTGTCATGGGAGTATCTTATTTCTTCACTGAATTTTAAAGACAATTTTGAGGGGTACATCAATCTGGGTTGAAGATTGTTTGCTTTTAGAGTTTGAAATACCTCAATTCAGGCTCTCCTTGATTTAAGGGTTTGTATTGAGAAGTTTGCTGTGATTCTGATGGGCTATCTTTTATAGATGATTTGTTTCTTTGCTGTAGCTGCTTTTAGTATTTTGTTTCTTGTTTTAAGTTTCCAGAATCTTGATTATAATATGCCTTGGTGTATATTTATTTTAGTCATGGTTATTTGGGGTTCTATGTGATTCATTTATTTATATGTCTAATTCTTAATCCATGTTTAGAAAGTTTTCTGCCATTATTTTTGTAAAGAGGTTTTCAATGGCTTTTGTGCTGTCTCTAGCTTTTCACTGATTCCAGTCACTCTTATGTTGTTGTTCTTTGCATCATCTTATAACTGCTGGGTTGGTCTCTTTCTGTTTTTAAGATATCTTTCTTTTCCTAGTCACTAGTCACATTCCTGTCTTATAGGTCTGCTATTCTATCCTTGCCTTTATTCAATCTGTTGTATATCACTGAAGTTTCATTGACTCAATATCTTTTTTATGTTGGACATTCATGGTTTTCATCATTTTCCTGACCTCTATTTGTTTTCATACCTTAGATATTATTTTATCTGTGGCCTGTTCTATTTGTTTTTCACTTCTGTTGCTACCATTTCTGAAAGTTACTATGGTTGGCTTCTGATTTCCTGTTTGTACTCTGGACTTGTCCTAGGTGAGCTAGGCATTAGGGGTTACATTTTCCTTTTTCCTCTTGTCATTATCTATTATTTATTTTATTTGGTTTCTGTCTTGATGCTTGTAGCTTTCTCATGGTAGACAGTTTTATCCCTGGCATGGAGGCTTTCCTAAGTGATGGCTGTTCCTCAAGGATGTGTTCCATTTATATTTATTTATTTATTTATTTAGGTACCGGACATTGAACTCATGACCTTGCACTTGCCAGGCTGGCACTTGTGCCACTGAGTTAAATTCCCAGCCCTTGAGGATGTTTTCTAGATATAGGTGGTTCTTGGTTTTTCTGTCTATCCCAAGAACCTACCTTCCTAACATATTAAGAATGTAGAGTTGCTCTTTTTTAATCAAAGCCCATTCCTTTGGTACTGGAATATGTTGGTTGTTATGGTCCCTGAAATCTCAGTGTTGTCATAAAGGATAGAAAAAACTGATTTTAACAGGTATTGTAACCTGGTTAAAGTGGTACCGTTAACAATAACAATAGTCTCAAGTACAGCCTAGCTACTGACAAATTGTGGTAACTATTAGCCTGATAGGTCTAAAGTTATATAATATAATCCAAATTATATCAGGAACTGCTATCCAACATTTTTCCACTTAGCAGATTTATTTTACTCTGTTGCAGGAGTTTAAAAGGGGTAGAAGGTGGAGGGGGTTAAATATAGGAACAAATTTGGTGGGCAAAGGATGATCATTCAAGTTTTGTGTAATTGTAGGATACAAGAGGGAGGGGTTGGAAGAGAAAGCCTAGGAGTATTGAAGTGAATCAGAAAGGGAAGAAACAATGTTTACCCACATGAATGTCCCATAGAATCAAGCAAGATTGTTGAAAAAGAGGAAGAGGATAAGTGGAATACTACAAAAGGAAAGTTTTGAGATCTAAATTAGGAATGAGAGGGCAAAGAAGGTACAAAAGAGAAGCAAAAGAAGGAAAAAACAGAAGAGAAATAAAAGCAAAGACAAAAATCAGGAAACAAAAATAATCACACACGTGGAAAAAACATACAGGAAGAAAATCAAAATAGGGCAAAAAAGCACATAGAGAAAATGAGAAAACAAAAGAGGAAAAACACAAACAAAAAGCAGCAACAACAACAAAAATAAAATAACAATAAAAAGCAGAGACCAAGCGTGGTGGTGCATGCCTGCAATCGCAGGCTAGGAAGGCTAAGGCAGGAGTATCACTGTGAGTTCGAGGCCAGCCTGGGGTACACAGTAAGTTCTAGGCCAGCCTGAACTGTATAGTGAAACTGTGTCTCAAAGAGAAAAAAAAATAAAGAGCATAATAAAACACAGTAATTCAGCGGACTATGAAGAGGAAAACCCACCAGACAGGTAAAAATAAAAGTAGTGAGATTCCTCTAGTATCTACAGTTCTGTGGTAGATTCAAGTCTGATCGCAGAATATCTTTTTAATTTTAGTAACTCGAAAATTAATCTGCTGCCTGGAGTTTCTGTCATTTTTTCATTTATCCTTTGGTACATGTTCCTCCTTATGGGTCTTTTTAAACACTTATCTCTCAGGAAAATTGACCATGCTATCATTCTAATTCTGTAAATCTTTTGCTTTTGTTTGGGCTATGCTGTGGTAGCAACTCCCAATTTCATACCCCAGGAGGTATTAGGCACTACAATTTGATCTCACTTTATGACTTTGTCTATCAAACGTGAAGGGACTTTAGCTGGCAAAATCCTAAGGAACACATCACTTAGACTGTTACAAAGGCTAAATTTGATCATTAAATGTGCTTCCAAATCCCCTACAATCACCAAGCAATGCGTAACTGTGTATTTTTAATCTTAGTTGAGGTTTTAGAAAGATAACTCAGTAACACCCACTCCAGGGCTGATGGGGGCGCTAGATGTAGAATCTTGCAAGTGGTTATCTGCCTAGGACAGGGATGGCCAGGCACCTAACACAGACGGGGCAGTGGAGTTCTCTGTGGAGGGAGGAGTCACTTGGTACATTCTGTACACACAAGCCCCTCCCTTTTCTGAAGTAAATTCAAGATTTAACTTCATTATGTAGAGGATGGGGAAAAGTGGGGTCTGGCTCAATGTTCTCTGCCGGCAGCAGGCCCGCCCAGATATGGCGAGCAATGGGCAAATGGGGAGGACAGAAAGGCGGGGAGGACTAGAGTGAAGGCGGGACAGGCGGCAGCCAAGCCGGCCAATAGGCGGCTCTCCAGAGGCTAAACATAAAGGGTAGGGGCGCCGTCACTTCTAGCACCAGTCTCCTAAGTTTCCCCTGTGGATGCACGGCTCAGGCAGCTGCGTTCCTCCTGGCGTTGAGGGGCCCAGAGAGGCAGGAGGACGACTCAGGACAGGGTTTCTGAACAAGAAAAGAGAACAAGGCGCCTGGCCCGCTCTGGATGGTCCATGAAAAATGAAGGGCAGGCGGCGGCGGCGCCGAGAGTACTGTAAGTTTGCTTTGCTGTTAGTGCTGTACACGCTGATGTTGTTGTTTGTCCCCTCAGTACTGGACGGCAGTCGCGACCAGGACAAGGGTGTTGGACACTGCCCCGGCCTGCAGCGCAGCCTGGGCGTGTGGAGCCTAGAGGCGGCAGCTGCTGGCGAACGCGAACTCAGCTCGGAGGTGCGGGCCGCCCCTGAAGGGAGCACTGGCCAGTCCCCAGGCAACCTCAGTGCCGTCGGGGAAGCATTGGCTCGCGAGAAGCAACACATCTACGTGCATGCCACCTGGCGCACGGGCTCGTCCTTCCTGGGTGAACTCTTTAACCAACACCCAGACGTTTTCTATTTATATGAGCCCATGTGGCATCTATGGCAGGCTCTGTATCCAGGTGACGCCGAGAGCCTGCAGGGCGCGCTTCGAGATATGCTGCGTTCCCTCTTCCGCTGCGACTTCTCTGTGCTGGGGCTGTATGCGCCGCCGGGGGACCCCGCCGCCCGAGTCCCGGACGCAGCAAATCTCACCACCGCCGCCCTGTTCCGCTGGCGGACCAACAAAGTCATCTGCTCGCCGCCGCTGTGCCCTGGCGCGCCCCGTACCCGCGCTGAGGTGGGGCTCGTCGAGGACGCAGCCTGTGAGCGCAGCTGCCCGCCTGTAGCATTACGGGCACTGGAGGACGAATGCCGCAAGTACCCTGTGGTGGTCATCAAGGATGTGCGCCTGCTTGACCTGGGCGTGCTGGTGCCCCTACTGCGTGATCCCGGGCTCAACCTGAAGGTGGTGCAACTTTTCAGAGACCCACGAGCCGTGCACAACTCTCGCCTCAAGTCCCGGCAGGGACTGCTGCGGGAGAGCATCCAAGTTCTCCGCACTCGCCAGAGGGGCGACCGCTTTCACCGCGTGCTGCTGGCGCATGGCGTGGGCGTCCGCCCCGGGGGCCAGTCCCGCGCACTGCCCTCCGCACCTCGAGCCGATTTCTTCCTGACTGGCGCGCTAGAGGTTATCTGCGAGGCTTGGCTGAGAGACCTGCTTTTTGCTCGCGGCGCTCCTGCCTGGCTGAGGCGCCGCTACCTAAGACTGCGTTATGAGGACCTGGTGCGGCAGCCGCGCACTCAGCTGCACCGTCTGCTGCACTTTGCCGGGCTGCGCGCTCTCGCCGCACTGGACGCCTTCGCTCTCAACATGACGCGCGGCGCGGCCTACGGTGCGGACCGACCCTTCCATCTGTCCGCTCGTGACGCCCGGGAGGCGGTGCATGCCTGGCGTGAGCGCCTGAGCCAAGAGCAGGTGCGCCAGGTGGAGACTGCCTGCGCTCCAGCCATGCGTCTGCTGGCCTACCCTCGCAGCGGAGAGGAGGGTGACGCGGAGCAGCCCATGAGAAGGGAGACGCCACTGGAGATGGAGGCCGATGGCACCACGTAAACCCTCATCACCACTTTCAGGCAAATTCCGGTAAGGTGCCAGCAGGCTGGGCAGAGTATGGGGAAAGGTCCTCCAGGAGCCAGAAACAGCCTGCGGCGGGAGGTGGAGAGGGAACGTTGTGCTCTGGAAGCCCAGACTATCAGATCAAGTCCTGATTGACCGGATTCTTTGGTTTAGCCCTCCACTTCTTCAGAGAAGGACCCTGAGACAAGATAAGATGCTTAAGATGTAGCTTTTAAACTGAAGCAGAGCCCAGGTCTGTCTCTGTGCTCCCAGTCCTTTTGGAGCAGGGGTTGAGACAGGGTCTCACTATGTAGTTTAGGCTGGCCTTCTGCTCTTAAGTGATTCTCCTGCCTCTGCCTCCTGAGTTCTGGAATTACAGGGTTGCACCACCACCTCGGGCTCCAGTCCCCTTTTTGAAATGGAAGGTATCAAAAATCAGAGAACAGTAGAGAAAGTCTAAAAGAGTCATAATGGAACTTTTGATATGAAGAGTATAGAATATAGGTAACTCTTTGAGGTTGACGGTTATGAAGGTATCTTCATGCCAGTTTGTCCCGTGGAAGAACTTTTTACCATGCTTTTTGCTTGGTAGAGAAAAACCAAGAGCAGTGTTTAGTGGAAACGTATCAGCACTGTAAACCCTATCTATTCCTTATCTTCCAGCTTTGTTTTGTTTTGTCTTTCTTAGGCTCAGGCTACAGAGTTTTCTCTCAAGTAGCAAGCATGCAGGCACATTTGTGTGTCTTAGGCCCTGGTTTAATGCGGTAGAATAAACTTTACTGTCCCCTTGGCTCATGTGTGTCCCTCTCCTTCTCTATCCATCTCACAGAGCTGGTATTTGCAGGATATTTGACCTTATCCCTTTTGCATCATGTGCCAAAGGCTGCAGTCAGCTTCCTTTAGTGCCAGCAAGACTCCCGGCAGTGTATACCCTACTCTACCCCAACCCTTTGGGTGAAGGGACCTTAGGTAGGCAATAGGAGCTTATGAAAAGTCACTCCCTCTTTTTTGCTCATTCTCTGTAGTATATATCTGAAGATGTTAAAGTAGCATCTAACATTGGGCTAAGGGAAGAGTTTGTTCTGCATAACGGTGACCACAGGAGTCATGCTTTTAACATGGGAATGCATTTCCCTGAACTGTAAGTTGGGAGGGTGCCACTTTCTGCACTGTGCAGACCAGAGGAGGAAAGCAGTGCTGGGTGGGCGGAAATTAAGTAACTTAAATTTCCATTCATTATTTTATAGTGTAATTCAGCATTCCTCTGGAATGTGTTCTGGAACAATGCTTGAAGATGTTAATGAAGATGGATTTTGTTGTTAATAGAGCTAGGGTCAGAGAGATTTCAGAAGCTAGCTGATTTTTATCCCAGTAATCAAGTGGTTTTGTTGATCATTTTATGTAATTGCTAGGAAGTCTGTGTTCTTTCCTGACTTTCAGAGTGAAAGAAAGGCACATCTTAACAAAAACATCCTTTCATATGCTAAGTCTGTATTTACAGATGGAACATAATGGTCCCTAATCCTGCTTCATAGACCTCAGGAGTTCAACCCCCTAGGCAAATGCTGCAGCATTTTGTGGTTTTATGACAATTTCCAAAAAACCACCCCTCCACACACCAGCGATTTTTACTAATGTGTATTGAATGTTGTTCAGGATGAATAAAGAGAATGGAGAGAAGGGTGCAGAACAAGGATTCTGCCCTCCAGGAAGTGTAAGTCTGTGCTCCTGACAGTGACTATGGGGGAAGGTACCAGTGCCACTGGAAATCCAGGGGGGCTTCTTCAGTATGTACATCTGGGTGCAAGTTTGAAACTCTTGCAGACTGGTGGCTAAGCCCTTCCTCCCACACTGGGTTCTTCCTACTAAGCAGTGCATTTATTAAAATGTTTGTATTCCTGATTCCTAGGAAGATAAATTTATCCATTGATGAGTTTTTCAAAAGTTTAGCACACTCTAGGAAAGGGAAAGAAAAAGGGAATGGATTGGTATCTGACTGTATGCCATGCAATACATTAAGCATTAGACATATGTAATTATACTAATTTACATATGAGAAACCTGAGACGCAGAAGTAACTTACCTGAAGTTTCATCTGGGCTAGTGAAAATGGAATGGTGTTCAATGTTAAATTGCAGAGCCCATAATCTCTCCATTGTACATACCTTGCCTGATCCCTCTTTTATCCCCTGGTAACAACCCTGGCACCCCACCTGGCGTTCCAGGTTACTCTGGGGTGCAAAACACAGCTTCATTACTAATACATTCCTGTTCTAGTAAGTGTTTGCAAGACAAACATTTAATGCAGAACACTGAAATTTACAAGATTAGCTGACAGTGTCTACCCACAGAGTCAAATGTAGAAGAGTGCAAGAGATCTGTCTGCGTGCTGGAGATCTTGGAGAATCTAGGAGAAAGCCTGGAGCCCATGGCAATATCCTGTATGAGTCCATATCAGGAGGCAAGGAATCTGCCTGGAAGCCTGAAGGGTCTGCAGGAGAAAGTCCAAGGGCTGGTGCTGGAGGCTAGAGTCTGCACTGCCAGACTGAAAAGCTGAAAAGCTTTCAGTCTGGCAGCTGAAAAGCTGGAAGCTGAAGCTGAAGAATCTTCACCAAAAGCCAGAAGACAGCTGTTCAAGACAAAGATCAGAGCTTCTTCAAAGAAAACAACAGCCATCCTTGGTGAAGGCGAGGACCGGAGCTCCTTTGAACATAACAGCCAAAGCGCATCCAAGGAAAATCAGCTGAAATCCTTCCCTTCCATTCTCTCTCCTGTCACTCCTCAAGTGGGTTTTCCACATGAATAAACACTGACTCAGTTCAGCTGGGCATCTCAAGTTGACAATTAACCACCACAGTTCCCAACTATGAACAAATCATGTATCGCCGAGCTGCTGACAGCACCCTACAGACATTCTTTCCACAGAACACCTGAGTGTACATGTCCTTGGCTCAGCAGTAAAGAGAGGTGGGATGTGAATTAACCTGAGTAACCATTGAATGGTCCATACTTGATAGCCAGAATTTTTCAGGGAGTGAATAGGTGAGATTTTCCTCAAGGCTGACCAGGCAGTGCAGAGCCCTGAACTAAGTTCCCAAGGACTCAGGCTCTTTCACATTTTCTTGACTTTTACCACTATTCATGTCCCCACTATTCAAAGACTGTAGTCACAACTCTAAGCATCACAACTTCATCCAACTACACAGGGTTGTTAAAATGCAGGAACAAAGGTAGTTAGCAGGTAAGGAGAGGAGAGTTATTCCCTCATGAAATGCTTTCTTTTAATCTCCTTATAAAAAACTTTCCCAGAACCCTCTACCTCAGCTGACTTCCTTTTATGTCTTATTGGCTGGAACTGAGTCACATGGCCTGCCCTAGCCCAATAATTGCCTAAAGGGAATGGGAGCATCCCAATTGGCTTAGACCACTAGTTCTCAACTCTGTTTGAAAATTATAGTAGTGTCTCTTCTACTCTAACTCCTACCTTATCCTGAGGGATATGTTCTGAGACCCCTAGTGGATGTTTAAAACAACAGATAGTACCAAACGCTATATATGTTGGTTTTATACACACACACATCTATGATAAAGTTTAATTTACAATTAGGCACAGTAAGAGATGAACAATAATAATAAAATAGAAAATTATAAAAATATAAAATTACATGAATATAATCTTTCAACTGCCAGAGGCAGGTAATATTAGTACAGTGTAAATATGCTGGATGAAAGGGTGATTTACATGCCAGGAAGGATGTAGCAGCACTGCATGAGATTTCATCAAAACAGCAATATAAAACTTAGGAATTATTTCTGCACTTTTCTGTCAATATCTTTGTATAGGAAACCTGCTAGAAATGCCTAACTAGAGGGGGCAAATGGAGACAAGACACGGAGATAATTTTGAAAGAGAGGTCAGGGGGCTCTTGCCTCTAGCAGACAAAGAATTGTGAGCATTTTGTTTACCTTACTTTTATTTACTCAGACGCAGGAACAAGCAATTAGAGTAGCACAAGATTCATCTGCCTCCTATTATCTATAATATATGACGAGGTAAACAACCATTCTTAGCTGTGTTGACTCTTCCCTGGAACCTGCAATGTGCTAGCACGCTGGATCATTTGTCAAAAGAGGAGCAACTTGCCGTTCTCTCCATCATGTCCACAGGAGAGGTCAATTAGGCCTCAATCTTGTCTGATCTCCTACATCTTTGGACTGTTTTGGGCTGGATAGCTAAAACCTCAGAAAGTCAAACCATGAGTAATGGGGGAACTACTGTTGTACACTCAGCTGAGGAATGGTCTTCAAAAAATGCTAATACCTGAGATCCACCCTGAAATATTTTTCCTTTGAATAATGCTGTGGATGTTAACTCAGGGCCTTGTGCATGGAGGCAATGCTCTACCACTGAGTTACACTCCCAGTCCAAGAAATTCTGATTTAATTGTCTGGAGCGAGGTAGGTTGATTCCACTGTACAGTCAAAGCTGAAAACCACTGGCTTGGACCAATCGATGATTCATTCCCTGGGCCAAGGAGTGGTACTGGAGCAAGATCAGAATGGAGAATCAAGAACTGTGGAGCAGAGAACTGTCTAACACCATGATTTATGTGGAAAGAACTTGAAGTTCTGAAGTGCCAAGTAGATTTAGAGCATTACTATGGAAAGGAAAATTATACATGGGTTCCTTTATCACTCTGTCACAAAGCATCAAATGCTTCATTATCTCTGGCCCCTTACAGAAGAGTCTGTCATTGAATCACATCCTCCTGTTCTGAACAAACTGATATACTGTCCTTTTCAGCATGTCTTTTCAATTTTACCTTTGGTAAGACCCAAACTTTCATCCCCATAGGCTATTTATTTCTTTTAGTATTAGGGATGGAAACCAGGGCCTCAGATATGCACTCTACCACTGAGCCACAACCCCAGATTTCTATAGGCATTGAGGATACTGTGGTTTTTGTTTTTCAGATATATTCACCTTTGAAAGAAATGAGGGAAAAAGGCAAATGCCTTGTAACTTA